ATGGGCAACTTAGACATTGGCTATCAAAAATGGAGGGGGGGCGGTGCCTACAAAAGCAAGAAGTGACTGGCTTACAAACTTTCAAGAGGGAGCCTAGATCCAGAATCGCTAGAGTGGTATCCAATCTGTCTGGACGGGGCTGATGAAAGGAGATGTGGGTAAGACTCTAGTGGTACAATAGTGAATAATTGCTATCAAGACTGACTGTGAGCGTTAGAAATATAAACATGGACATTTTGTAGCAAAAGGAGGGGACGGGTTGACTTTGCACTCCAGGAGCAGAGGTCCTGGGACCATCAAGGGACCCTATCCAGAGAAGCAATGATGCCAGATATGGAAGCAGAGACAGTGATGCAGAAACACTGAGCGGCTGGGGACTTGGGGACTCAGGACCCAGAGAGGGGGAGGGGCTGTATGCTGACGACTGGGGGGGCAGACTTGCAGGGTGTACCCTTTGGTTGTTTGATGATGCATGGAGGGGACTTTAATCATGGCAGTGAAGCAATATACTATAGGATGAATATAAGGTTGATGTTCTCCCATGTAAACTATCATATAATTTACAATAAAAACTTTAAAAAAACAAAACAAAGAGTGTGTGTGTGGGAGGGGGAAGAGTCCCCACTTAACAGTTTTCATCTTGTCTAGATGGATCTGATAAAAAGACATGGGGACTCAACCAGACGAAGAAGGAAAATAGTGTAATCTGATACAATTTGATGAACTTGACCTACACCTATGGATGCAGTAGCTCAAAAGAGGGAACAAATCCTTACAGCAAGGATCATTCCCACCCCCTCCATACACAGAGTAGACAGGGATGGGCAACTTGGACATTGGCTACCCAAAATGGGGGGCTACAAAGGCAAGAAGTGACTGGCTTACAAGCTTTCAAGAGGGAAGCTAGATTCATAGGGCATGGAGGAAGATAGAAACTCCACTGAGTAGTATATAATCTGTCGGGGCTGATGAAATGAAATCCAGGTGGATCTCTTGCGATGTAACAGTGAATAATTGTTATCTGGACTGCTTGTGAGGGTTGGAATTGTAAAGGTAGACTTTTTTTTAGCAATGAAGGGAGTGATTAACTTTTCAGCCTAAGAGCAGAGATCCCTGGGACCATCAAGGGAGAAGAGCGGAGAGCGGGACCCTACCCAGAGAGCCTGAGATGGAGGCAGAGACAATAACATGGAGAGGTGGAGCTGTTGGGGACTTTAGACACAGAGAGGAAGAGGGGCTTTGTGCTGATGACTGGGGGGCATGCTTGTAGTGTATACCCTTTGGATGGTTGATGATGCATGGAGGTGACTGTAACCATAGCAATGAAATGATATACTATAGGATGAATGTAAAACTAATGTTCTCCCATGTAAACAATCACATAATTTACAATAAAACATAAAAGAAAAAAAGACATGGGGATAAGATTCTTATGATTCAATAGTAATTGTCATCATGACTGTGACTGTCACAATTGTAAAGGTAGAAGTTTTATTAACAAAAACAGGGGAGTAGTTAACCTTACAGTCCAGAAACAGAGGACCCTAGGACCATCAAGGGAGAAGAGCACAAGCAGAATGCAGGACCTTATCCAGAGAAACAGCACCACTAGAGATGAAGGCAGAGATGAAGACATGGAGAGAGGGAGCAGCTGAGGACTCTGGAAAGAGAGGGACTGAGAGCTGGCAGCCGGAAGCCAGACTTGTAGAATGTGCCCTTTGGTGGTTTAAATTATTATATATGCCTAAATGTTTGTTTTTAAAAACACAAACTAGTAAAATGAATAGAAATAAATACTGTTAAGTGATGGTACATGGAGGGGATTATAATCATTGTAATGAAACAAAGTGTATGATTTGTTGAATGTAGAACTGATGATCTGCCCCATAAACCTTCTCTCAATTCGCAATAAAAACTAAAAAAAAAAGATTGCCCAGGGAGTAGATGTAGACTGAGAAGGGTCTGATGACTGAGCCTTGGGACATTTCAACATTTAGAGGTTAGGATAAAAAAAAGAGGATGGCAAGGGCAAGGACAAAGTAGTATCCCAGAAACTAAGAGAAGAAAATGTTTCAAGGAAGGAGTAATAAACAAATACTAATGTGTCATGACTGATATATTTAGTAAGAGATGCTTGGGGCAGGTAGTAGAAGTGAAAACTTGGGAACTTAAAAATGGGAACAAACATTTGTGTTTTTAAAAACTCCTTTGGGAGACAAAGAGGTGACCCCTGAATATTGACTATTTGATGCTAAATTATTTTAGATACGATAATGCTGTTATAATTATGTTTTAAAAAATCTTTATTAAGAATGAGACTCTAAAACTCTGGTGACTATAGTGATCTTCCATAATATCTGAATTTGACGTTTTAGTGTAAAAAACACTAGACCTCATCAAGATTTCCAGTCTTTTCGCCCTATGCTTTCGTGGCACATAATACACCATCACTCTTTTAATTATGCAGTTTCATACCAGAAGGGCCCACCTGTATCCCAGTATGTAGATTTTGCAGTGAACAAGCTCTAGAATAAACAGTGGCTGCTATTCACCGCTAGAGGGACCCTCTGAGCAAAAGGTTATCTACTTCACCCTCTCAGTACTAGCCATCTGTTGTAGCTGTTAAGTGCATCTGTTAAGTGCATCTATGAGTTGGTTGTGATTCACAGTGACCCTATAGGGTTTCCTAGGAGCAACTGGTGTGTTTGAACCACCAAATGGTGTGTTTGCAGCACTGCTACTCATCTAGAAGACTTAAATACTGGTCACATTAAACATGTTTTTGTGTGTTCCTCAGATGCTGTATTTCTTGAAGAACAATTGTTTCTTTTGACCTTTAATTGCCCAGTACAACATTCATTATTATTGTTTTAAGTGCTGTGAAGTCAGTTCTGACTCACAGTGACACTGTATAGTGTTTCTGATGAACAAGCTGGTGGGTTTGAATGGCTAACCTTGTGATTCAGTCCAGTGCTAATCCTACAGAGCCACACCAGGAATCCATATTCATTAGCTGCTGCATAAATAATTGCAGAATGATCTTAACAGAAATGGGGGACAGTGGTATGAGACGGCAAGATTTGCTTCTCTCCAGTGCTGCCACTCCTACTCAGACACAAGCCTTAGAACAAGGCCACCTTTTTGTCTAGTTTCCCATTTCAGTATAACAGCTAAAGCTTATACAAAGTTAACCTGGACAGGAGCCCTACAGTAATTTGCTCATATTCATTCACAAATTTTCTTTGTCCAGTTCAAATTGTTAGGATGGTGGCGGTGGATGCTGGGAGGTAGGGAATGAAGTCATCTCTCTCAGCCTGAATTAAACTGAAGCTGGAATGAGGGAAATTAAAAGGATGCAGCTTTTTTGTTCAGGGCAATATGAACAAAACAGCCTGAAGGGTGTGGAGCAAGAAGAAACCAGAGATCTAAATAACTGATAAAGTTTAATACATTAAAACCAGGTATTTATCACTTTTATATTGCATTTGCCATTTCTCAACAATACAAAGTAGAGGCAAATAGTGACACTTCATAAAAATTTTGATTCCCCATTTCCTTCCTTAGGACCCAGCCCTCCCTCCAACACTCCCTCCCACCCACTACAGAACTGTGTCCTGAATAAAACACTTAAATACATCATAAATAGTAAATTATGAAAAAAAAAAAAATAGCAAGAACTGTTTCTTTCCTTCTCATAAAAAAGAACATGGCAGCAAAGACAGGCAGCCAGAAAGGCTGGGGGTGTCTAATATAGACAGTTACTCAGCGGTACAGACTAACCTACAGACCTATCCAGGTCAGGTAAAATGGAGAGGGAGTAGTATAGGAATTCAACCATCTGCCTGAGACGTCAGGTCCTCTCTCCCTTGACAAGAATGGGAGGATCTATCTGATGAAGAACTACAACCTTTGGAGAGGACTTACATAGCCCATTTTAACTTTTTCTGCACAAAGAGAGGGGACAGAGCATGCGGTACAGCAACGACCTCACCAAGGCAAGAATTTCTTGGCTCCCCATGAGTTTTAAGAAAATACATTCTAGTTTCATAAAATATGGACTGCCTGCTAAATAGTACAGTTGTCCCCTTCTCCCTGTCAGCTTTGTGAACAGCAAAATACTGTTGGAAATGATGGGCAGAGCAGAGGAAATCTCCTTTGGGGAAGGGTTCTAGAATTCATTTGACAAGTCTTTATATATTTAGAAAAACAAGCAGAATACAATTGAAATCACAAAACAGGAATAATCATTATGGCCTGGCAGTGAGTAGGGTCCTGCCTAGGAAGGCTCTATTCTCTAGCCTGTTTTAACAAAAGGGGTAAAGACTGCCCCATGTCCCACTCTCTCCATTCCTTCAGCCTTAAGAAATTCATCAAGAGAGGAGGAGTTAAAGCAGAGCAGCTCCTGGCAGAGTAAACACCACACTTCTGCTCGACAGACACCAGGGCTCTTCTGAGAGAACCTTATGAAAAGGCATCTCTCCAACACTTCTGGAGTTTTGATATGAAACTGTCTGGCTTGAAACTGTGTGCTGTGCACTACTTGTTTCTTTTCCTTTAAAAAAAAATTAAATATAAAATAAATTAAAGGTTTGGAGGTGGTTAAACATCCTCACACCACCAAAAACCTTTACAAAAGGTATAGGGATCTTCTTGGAAGGACTGGAAAGAAAGAGTTAAGATAGGGATAATAAGCCAGTCAGTCTGTCCTGAGGGAATTAGGAGTCCATCTCCTGGTGAAAGGTAGATGAGGGGGAAGGAAATCATCAAATCCAGCAACCCACTTCTAGTACAAAGAAAGGGGTTTGAAAAAATGCAATTGTAGAAGTCAAGTTTAGCCAGTTGAAAATTCATGCCACCCAACTCTGCAATGGAGGGGAAGCTGCTGTCCTCAACTGTCCAAGGCACTAGTAATAATGCCCATTCACGAGGAAGGGGGAGAGGAGGTTCTTCTTCAGGAAGGAGACATAGGGTTCTCTAGCCTTCAGTAAACTCCTTTTTCCATGACCAAGGAGGAGGAAACTCAGCATTGCTGGGCCAAAGGCTAACACCTTGGGATCATAGAGATTGTAAAATCTTGTTCCATGTCTTCTGAGGTTTTATGCTCACTGAAAAGAGAAAAGGTGGTATGTTGAATGTGGAAGGATAAGATGATGAAGGAGGAGTAGAATTCATGTTAATTTCAGCATGGCTGGTTTAGCTTAAAAAGTTTTCGTCTATATCAGCCTCAGCTTCCAAATACAAACGTACAAAACATACAAAATAAAATATAAAAATAGGCAATTTAGGTGCAACCAGTCCCTCTAAACTTGCCAACTAATCCCTTCCACCAATTATCCTCTTTACACCCTTCAAAGCATTCACCTCCCCCATATTCCAGATACTCACATGGGAGAACTCTGGTTCTATAATTTCAAGCTTTTCCAGGTGGGATGAACTAACAAAAAAAAAAGGAAGGAAACCGAAAAAAATTATAACATAAAAAGAAAAGCATTCCCCTTTCAAATCAAATCTTATATTATCCCTCCATATTTTTATCTTATAATCAATCTGGGATTCAGAAATAGGAGATCAAGAAAATATTAGATTTATATGTACATTAATTATTTTCTTAAGTACTATAAAATATTTCTCAGTAGACTCTTCCCGTCTTCAATCTGCATATGTGGTAGGCTGCCTCTAAGGTAACCCCTGCCTCCTGACATTCCAAAACCACACCAAATCAGTTGCCCTCCAGTCAATTCTGACTCATAATGACCCCATACATAGGGTTTTCAAGGGCTCAAACCACCAACATTTACTATTAGCAGTCAAGCACTTAACTACTGTGCCATGAGGGATTCTTGCTGACATTCATGTAATTCCCTCCTCTACCAAGTAGGCTATTTAATGACTCTTTCTCACAGAATGCAGCACAGGTGATAGAATGTCAATTTTGAGTTTCAGTAAGAAAAAAAAGGCTGTAGTGTTTACTTAGCCTCATTCTCTTTCTCTCTCTCGTTTGCTTACTGAGGGAAACTAACTGCCATACTGTAAGCTGTCCTATGTAAAGGGCAATGTGACAAAGAACTGAGAGAGAATCGTGAGCCAGCAGCCTGCAAAGAACTGAATTCTGCCAACAACCTCTTAAGTGACATTGGAAGGGAATTCTCCCCAAGGTGAGTTTTCAGGTGAGATCACTGCCCTGGGCAACAGCTTGACTGTAATCTCCTGAGGGATCCTGAGTCAAAGGCACCCAGCTAAAACACACCTAGATTCTTACTGTGAAATAATGTTTACTGAATTCAGTTACTACACCTTACAATAATTTGTTATGTAACAATAGATAGATAATGCAGATTCCAGTAACTGTAAATAGGGTGCTGCACAAACAAAAAAATATTATGAATATTATGTGGGTGCGGCTTTGGAAAAATGAAGTAGGCTTAGATGAGAGTTTAAGTGACAGCTTAAAGTGCCCTGAACACACTAGAATTTTAGACTTTAAGGGAGTTATTAGTGAGTTTGAAGGAAAATGGAAAAAGTTGTATTAGAAACTAGAGGAAAGGAGATCCTTGTAATGCAGTATCACAAAGTTTTGCAACAATGTTATCGGAAGATATGAGGAAAGTAGAATGTGTGCCTAATATACTGGATTAAGAAGATTTCCAACCAAGTCAGGTGTTGAAAGTATCATCTGGTTTCTTCTGGTTGCTTATAGTAAGATGTAACAAGAGAGAAATAATAAATTGAAGAAAGGACAGTTAAACAACAACCAAAAAAAACAGTACCTGAAGGTCTTAAAAATTCTCAGCATCTCTAGATAGTAAATGATTCTAAAATTAAGAAGTAGCTTTCTAACAAAGATCAAATCCAGGGCAGTAAAGGAGCTCTTGTACTGTAGTGGTTACGAATAGGGCTGCTAATTGCAAGGTCAGAAGTTCGAAACTACCAGCTATTTTGCGAGAGAAAGATGAGGCTTTCTGCTCCTGTAAAGATTCACAACCTCGGAAACCCTGTACAGGGTCACTATGAGTTGGAACCGACTCCATAGCACATAACCACCACCACCACCACCAATATGGTCTAAAGGCAAATCCAAATCAATCATAAAAAAGGCCAATCAATGAGATTAAGGGTGTCACGAGTCCTCACAACTGAACAATAGGGCCTTTTAGAAGTTTAGGGTTTAAGAGATTTGTGAGTGTGGGTTTTATCTAAGAGTGAACCTCAAAGCACTAAATAGGAGGCCCCCCAAAATTTGAGAATTCTAACAGCAGAAACACTGCTAGCTTGTTCTGAAATAGACAAGAAAATTGAAACAAAGACAGTTCAATGCTATTCAGCAAATTCCCATGTGTTAAGAGAACAGAACTGCTCCCCACAGGAGTTCTGCCAGCCATTTCTCCCATGATACTGCTGGATGGACTCGAACCATCAATCTACAGGTTAGCAGCTGATCACAAACCACTTGTGCCACCCAGGGTCCTTAAAATAAAAAACTGTGCAAAATGAAAATAGAGTACTGGTGTTATGCCCAGAATTCAGGGTCCCCAAAGACCACCCAGGAGCCGTGTACCGATGCAAATACATAAGGGTTGTTTAATCA